CATGGCATTTTCAGCATTATAGTTCGTGTTATTTTGTCCATATCATTGCATATCACTACATCTAGGGGCCAAATTTTGGGTTATCTGTATTTAAATCCCTTTCGCTGCGATTTCTCGAGTCTCCGCTGCTCAAATCATCCAGTGAAGCTATTTAAAAAGGGGCATTTATTGCACCCCAAATTTGTCCTACCTTTACATGGTTTCTAGTGCCACTTTATTTTGAATGAATAAAATGGCACAATTGGCAAGAGACTGTGTGTGAGGAGTTGTGAGTGTGAGAGGTCGAGAGTTCGAATCCCACCTTCTTCATTTTTTTGTTTTTCTTTTATTTTTATTCTAACTTTTCTATTTTCATAAAAACAACTAGGGAGCATTGAACATAGTGGGACTTTTTCCAGAGCAACCTTTGTGAGAGACACACCACATACTCACCCAAAACCTTAAGGTGATAGGTGTGTGGGTTCTCTTATTTATAAATGCTCAAGTCACCACATTTCTATCCAATGTGAGACTATTATCCACCCTACTCACACTTGTTAATACTTTAACTTTAACACTCTCCCTCAAGTGTGAGTCTATCCACAATGCTCTCCCTTAAGCGGAAACTTCAACTGTGCAACTGCACCCTTATACCGCCGTTGACACTCTTCAACGAGACACTCAACCCACAACCTGTGGGGATACTTTCGATACAAGTAATTTGTTCCCTTTATTCGAACCAAAGGCTCAAGATACCACTGTTGGACTTTCAACTAGGGAGCATTGAACATAGTGGGACTTTTTCCAGAGCAACAAAAAATATTATTTTTTCACTTTTTTTCATATTATTCATAAAAACATCCAAAAATTATAAAATTAAAAATATTAGAAAAGATTTTATTCTTTTTATAATATTTTTAATGTTTAGTAAATAAATAGGGTTTTAAGTTTGTTTTAATTTGTTTTAGTTTTGACTAATTCTTTAAGTTGGGCTTTAAAGTGGGATTAGGTTAGAGTTAACCCTAATTTGTTACCTATATAAACATGAGTTGCATTTGAGAAAAGGGGGAAGGAGACAAAAAGAAAAACGGCGGCCGTCAAGATCTGGAGGTTCAGAAGAGCTTCGAAGCTCATCATCATCACCTCCATTTGAGAAAGAGAAAAAGAGATCCAAAGAAGTTCGTCGAGAACCGTTGCCGCCAACAAAGAACAAGCGAAAGCATCACCAACCGGCAACTGAAATATTATACATAGATTCCGATTCATATTTATTTTAATTTATTTTGCTCCATGGATGTAATTTACGCGAGGCCATGATCGCGGTTTTATTTTATCTTTCTTTTTTTGGGGGGATTTGTAATTTACGTGAGTGATCGTCGCGACGCTTTCTTTACTTTCTGCATTTTAATTTCTGCCGTATAATATCTTGCCATGTTTGCATGTTTTACCGTTATTTTCCCTCCGAAGGAATTAGGTTTATCCGTTTGACCGCCGAGTCAATAGCCCTAATTTTTTACTATTTCAAACCCTAATAGTCTAGGTGTTCCGCCGTGGACGAAAACGCCCTTTACCCTAGCTTTAGGTCAAAGAGTCGCCGTACTCTGTTTAGAGTTTCCCGCCGTGGAATCCCTAATTTAACCCTAATTTCATTTAACAAATTCAACGTAGAAATAGGAGTTTTTAGACTCCACGTAAGCGTGTCCTTAAGATACGTTTATTCCCCATTGAAATCTTGACCACAGTCAAGAAGTTTCTAACCTCCCTTTCGAGGGGAACTACGATTACTCTGATTCTATTCCCTATCCAGGATACGTAGGAACAAGATGCGACGTCTTGCCGAGTAAACTTAGGTCTAACCCTTAGGTCTCTTTTAGGTCACTCTATCCCTTAGCTCAATATATACATCAAGCAGATAATAAAATAAAAAAAAGCATACAATAAACAAAAGGTTCCTGTACAGTACTACAGAAGTTTAGGGTGCTAATACCTTCCCTAAGCTTAACCAACCCCTTACCTAGGTCTCTCCCCGCATTGTGTTTACGATGCAAAAATAGGTTTTTCCTCTTTTGACCTTTTCCTTCGGATAAATCAAAGAGCGGTTGTGAATTAAGAATTATGATTCAAACTAATTAATAGTTTGATATCCTATTTCCACCGCAACAAAACTATTCAAATTTCTGAAAGTACTCAGACAATTAAACTTTTAACAAAAAAATATTTACTTCCTTTTAAAAATTATAATTATATCCATGTTGGTTTAATACAAGTTGTTGTTAAACCTTTGACTTTGCTAGGATTAAATACTAGCATCCTGGGATATATTAGAGATGGTAGATGTAAAAATTTTAAACAATCCTTAGTTGCTTTAATTGAGACAAGCCTGTGTCATGAACCAGTTTATTTTGATGTCTCTCCCAATATAAGCTTATCCATGACTAATAAAAATTTATTAGATGCCCTTCAATTAACTATTCATACCAATAGTTACAATTTTAAACAGGGTAGTGAAATAATAGCTATATGTTATAGGGTTTATTACAAAGTTCTTACCATTTTAAACCCTAAAGCTAAAAAAATATTGTTTCCAGGAACTACTACTTTAGTTCAAACTAATTTGCTAACATCTAGTGTTGCAACTAATAGGTTGCTAAAACGGGATGAAATTAATTTTCCTGAAACCTGGAACCTTCCTCAGGCCATAGAACCTGAATCTATCCTTAATAAGAATGTTGATCAAATAATCCAGTCTAGTGAAGGAGATTTGGAAATAAACTTTAACTCTAAAAGAATTATTAGAATACCTAGATCTATGTCTGGAAGACATTCAGTGAATTCCATAAATGAGTTTTACCCTACTCCTAGTCAATTACCTAGATCTTCTACGTCTCAATTAAGAGAAGAAATAAAGGTAGTTGAAAATATAAGACTTAGCGAAAATAAAATTCGCCATGCAATATATCAAAAACCAAATCCTCCTAGAGTAGAATCGCATACTCCCTCAGACATGGACTTCCCGTTATAATGTTAGATTATTCCCCAGGTAGTAATCTAAGAAACCTTGTTAATGACGAGTTTCAGCATGAAAGATACACTCAATTTAGAAAATGGTTTTTTAAAACTTTTTCTGCCCCTGTATTAGCAAGTTTTAAAGATGAGTATTATACTCAGATGTCTATGAACCAAGATTTCATTCCCTTTGTCAAATGGTTCATTAGTTACTTTATAAGTAAACAAAAAGAAGAGTTGGTTTTTATAAAACAAAACGAATTGTTAGTTCTACAAAAATCTTGGGAAAATGTCAAAGGAGAAAGAATGGAATCTCCTTTTTTCCCTGAGCAAACAATATGTTTGGGTCCTCATACAGAAGCTACACCCTATCTTACCCTTCAAAGGGTTAAACAAAATCAAATGACTCTTAAAGAGTTAAATTCCATAATCAAATTCAATAATTATACTAATGCCTACCTTGTTTGCCTAGGAGAACAATTTATTTCTCTAGAAAAGGAACTCTTATCCATAAAGGACCTTTTAGACAAACAAATAGCTCGTCAAAAGATTATCATTGACCTTATTAATAAGCCTAAACCTCAAGAACAAGTTTCTACATCTAATATTCCAGATGTTCCTATAATTCAACCTCCTATTCCTATAGAAGGATTTAAAATGGAAACTAACGGTGATGAGTTTGTCCGTATTCTTGAAAAAAAGCTTAAAGATTTACATTTAACGATGATGTCTAATCAAGACTCTTCTAATAAAGAAGAAATCAATGATTTAGCAAATATGTTTGCTGACTTAGACATAAGTAATCAAAATATTAATGAGATAAACCGTATTTATATCTCTAAACCTTTAGAGAAATACTATTATAAGCGTCCCTCTCCCCCTATATGGAGTCAATATATGAAATATTCAATTTTTAGCAAAAAATTTTTTTTAAGAAACTCGAGAATCAACTTTTAATAAGTGTGTAACTCTTTATTCAAAATAATTTAAATTTGTACAATAAATCTAAAATATTTAAATGAGATGATAAAAATATTCTTTCAACATAATCATAAATCTTGAATCCAAACTCGTCCTTATAGTTAATATTTGTGGTTTCAATTTAGGTCCAAAGACTGTAAGAAGAGTTTTACACCGGACTACATTTGTAATCAAAATGATTAAAGGATCTATTACTACAAAGAAAAGGAAAAGAGAAACCAAAAAAGAAAAGGATAGTTTGATTTCCATCCAGATCCAATATATCATATCAAAACTGAAAGATAAAAGCAGTTTCAATTGGACAAAGTTGTGTAGTCCATTCATCCTTTCTGTTCATTCAAAGCATCGTGTAAAAGCATCATGTACTTTGTGACTAGCTTAATTCTTCTTTTTCATTTGATAAATTTGTCTCACTTGCTCAGCATTGGAGATAGTAAAATTATATAACTCTCTTCCCAAGAAAATAAAGTACTAGTACCACCAGACCCTAGCCATTAGATTTTCCTGACACACAAACTTAGATTGCCATCAACACCATCCATCACACACACATCAAGATTTATGATCTTCATATTAAATACATTTGACTGTAATTATTTGTGCTATAAAAGTTAAATCTAGTACCAGAATTTAACATAATATAAAGTAGGAAATTAATAAATTTCTAATACTCATGAACATGTAATTTTTTTCTGTCACAGACAGATACCTTATACATAAATAATACATAATTAAGAAAATGCTAAAACCAGCATGCTTACATATAGTTGTTTTTACTAAGAAAAAGAGAAATATTATCGTTAGCTCTGCCATACAATGTAAAAATATTAACTCACTAATTATACTTAAAAGTTCCATTTCCCCAATTATGGTAAATAATGACAGAATTATAGATCAATCTGCATCATAGTTCTAAATTTGCAATCTATAATTGCAATTGAAACCAGGCCATAAATTCTTAATTGTAATTGCACCCGCAATGTTTGCAATGAATCAGGACTATAACCGCAATTTATAATCATCATTTTTGGTTTTCAGAAATGCAAAGGACGAGGGTGAGAAGGGTGATTCCATGGCATGAAGCTTGGATCAGAATGCTGTGGATTCATTGTCATCGGATTAGGAACATTGAAACCAGACACATTCTCAGCAGCAGCACCACCACTACTACCAGCACCATGATCACCACCACCATTGCTGTTACCATCTCCATTGTTATCATCATCTTCAACATCATCATCAGCTTCCAAAAGAATACCGGCAGCCCTATGAAGTTCGGGATTTTTAAACAAAGAAGCAACAATCTTAACACCGTCACCACCAGCTATAACTTTTCCACCAATTATTCCACCAAAGATTTGTCCCTGCATACCAGCAAGAGTAATACCAAAAGTTGAAGCTGGTGTTGGTGTTTCTAACTGGTTAGGGTTAGGGTTTGATGAAGAAGATGAAGCAATAGGAATAGAAATAGGAAGAGGAGGAGTTGGTGGTCGTGGTGGTGGTGGAGAAGGAGGGAAGAAGAAAGTACCAGTCAAAGTCAACAAAGAAAAAGGCCCATGAAGAGTAAAAGCAGGAGATTGACAAACTGGGTAATGGAGTGTAGCAACAGCAATAGTACCAGAACCGCTAAGAATGGTGAGACATGAACGAAGACGAACAGCAAACTGGATGACAGCTTGAAGAACATCAGTACCAGCAGCAACTTCAATGATTGCAGGTTTCATGGCTTGTTCATTGTCTTGTGTGATTACAAGAGGTGGTTTTGGTTTGTTTTTAGAGCCTGGTGGTCTGCCACGCGGTTTTCTGTAGGGTTGTGGTGAATCAGTTGGTGTTTGTTGGTGAAATGAACCGCCGGTGTCGATTGTTGGGTTCATGGCGGTGGTGAAAGGCGTTTCTTGGTCTGAGGAATCGTTTGAGGAGCTTGAGAGTGAAATTTGCATGTTATGTTCAGCCATTTTTGAGTCACAGAACTAAAAAGGTAGAAAAGGTAATCGATAGATGATAAAAGGAAAGAGATAAAATGAAAATGGAACATAAATTTTGTGAATCTTTGATGGTTATTTATAGTGGTGGTGACTTGTGAGAGTGACATACATGAGTTGTCACAAATGAAAATGTATGGGGTTGTTACATACACATAATAAAGATTGAGGAGAGGTGATATGAAAAAGTGGGGTCTTTTATTTATTTGCAATGAACCAGAAAACATTTGAGGTATATGTTTCTTGTTTTTATTTTATTTATTCTTTCAACCCTTAAATCCTGTTGGCTGGTCAATTGTTTTTGAGTCTTTTATTTATTTGCAATGAACTAGAAAACATTTGAGGTATATGTTTCTTGTTTTATTTTTTATTCTTTGAACCCTTAAATCCTGTTGGCTGGTCAATTGTTTTTGAGTTTCCCATGCTGCCTTTTTATCTCATGAATTTCTTTTTTGAATATATATTTATTAAAAGTTTTCAAGGCTTTATTTTAATCAATATATTTTGGTTTATCTAATTTATTGTATATAGAAGAACATAAAGAATTGAAGAACGCGTCCTTTTTCCTTTCAATTGAATTGAGAATTAAAATAAAATCCATCACTTTTTATCTCAATTAAAATAAGAATCAAAATAATAAAAAATTGCAAAGGGCCCAACTTTGAATTTTTTTTAATATAAAATGTTTTTTTTAATTTAATTACGAAATAAAATAATAATCTAAATAAATTACGAAAATGACATGTTTTGTAGGAGGATTTGCCATATCAAATGGCTACACAAGTCTTCTAGACCTGATTCGCCGTTTCATATGGTGCATGGGTTTATGAGTGCCCTAAAACTCTACGTTGAGTCGTCATATGAGATGGCGCATCTCATGTAGGGTTTTTTTTTTTAAAATTTATTTTTATAATTGTTTTAAAAATCTTATAAATATTATTTGTTATATTTTTTATATTTGTTATTTTTTTTTATATTTTGAAAAATATAATTCTAATATTTTTTAATTTATGATATTTGTTATATTTTTATCACTTTTAATTAATATTAAATATTAAATATTTAGTTATTGTCACATTTAGTTAAAAAAATAATAAAATTTATTATTTTTAATAATTTTAAAAAATATATAAATGCAAAAAATAGTAAATTATAATATAAATTACAACAGATGAAAAAAAGAAAATTAATGCCCAGGATTGAAGGGATTGTAATAATTCATAACTAAAATTTTAGTAAACTTGTGTTTGAAGGGATTGTTTAACTAATTGATATGATAATAAATAAGCTATCTCTACTATATTAATAACAATAAAATGTTGTTTTTTATTATTAGATCTACAAGGTGAGCTGCATGACAAGACTAAACCTTGTTTGCCTACAAGATGAGCTGCATGACAAGACTAAACCCTGCGTGCCTAACGTCTGCATTCTGCATGCCTACCGTCTGCACCCTGCATGCCTACCGTCTACCCTCTGATTTTATGCATGCCTACACTATTCTCTGCATGGATACACTCTATACTCTGCGTGCCTACCGTCTGCACTCTGCATGCCTACCGTTTGCACTCTGATTCTATGCATGCCTACAAGATTCTTACTATGTATACACTCTACACTCTGCATGCCTACCATCTACACTCTGATTCTATGCACGTCTACAAGATTCTTACTAATAAATGTATACACATGGCTACAGTATTAGTCTCGCAGGATGCTGCCACTACAAAAAAATTGAGTTTAGACAATGATGAAAAACCGTGTCTAGACATAAAAAAACCGTAGCTGAAACCTTTAGCCCGCGGTTATCTAGGCGTGGAATATACGCCCGTTACCTATTCCTATAAACTACGGTTTTTTGACTTTAGCCCACGAATGTGAAAATCGTTGCCTAAATATGTAAATAGGGGGTGGTTTTTCTAACTAGTTTTAGACCGCGATTTTGATTAGCTACAAATATATAACCGTTGTCTACTGATTGTACCACAATTTTTTTATGTCAGTTTTAGGCTACGGCTTTTATTTTAGTCACAGTTTTGAAATCGTTGTCTAACCTTTAACTCAAGTTTTCTGCCCCAATTTAGACATTTTTTTTTTAATTTAATAATAATAACAAAATCAAATTTATCACACACTTTTCCTAATGTGACAATAAAATTTATCACACTTAGTAATGATATATCATTCTAAAACAATAATTAATAATATGAAGTGTAATTTACTTTCTTATAAATATATCATTCTAACATATTAATTAATAATATATGTAATAGAATCTCTATTATGTAAATAAAACATAAAAATTTTATCTAAGCTAATTGGTCACTGCTAGTACTCAATCTCAAAATATAAAAGTTTAAGTACAAAAGACAACTAGAAAGGTATCAGACTTTAATATCATATCAAAATTCTTGAAAATTTATTTCTTCTTTCAAGCTTTGATAGCATCACCAACCTATTCCTAATAAACTTTTTTTTTTGCATTCTAAACATAATCATAGATCAAACCAAAGGACTTGCCTCCTCTAAAATAAGTTATGAAATTGAAGACGACAACAATGTTTAGGTCCTTTGCGTCATAAATTCTTGCCACTTTTTTTTTTTATTTCAGTCTTGGAGACATTGGTCATCCCTAGATGAAAAACATCAATGGAAAATTGCTTTCTTGAAAGAAGCTTGTTTGTCATGAACTGCCTAGTTCTGATAGTGACAACCTTGTCCGCCATGTTATTTATCACCGATTAACAACCTACAGGTAAAAGGAAATGTTTCTTAGAGATTAATTAATAATATGAAAAGTAGTGGAACTGTTTTATGTAAAAACACACATTAAACATAAATCTAGTTATGTATGTTGTAATATTTGGAAATCATTGGTAAGCCACTAGTGTTTGTATGGTTACTGATAGATGCACGGTTCACAATTGATTTAAATGTCATATTAACAACATAATATAGGGAGCAATTCCTCCATGTACCACCTCCATGATGTAAGTAAGGTTCAAAAATTACCATGTGAGATAATTCAACTAAAATCATAAACTAAATATGATCTAAATCTCTCTACAGTTTGGTTGCAACTGAAAATTACCATGTGAGATAATAAAAATTTAGCCACTGAGTTATGTACAGGGAGCAAGGAAATTCAAGACATGACTATTTAAAATGAACTTATTCCTCACCTAGAGAAAAGAATTATTGATTTAACATAATATTTATATAAAGATTATTTTTAATATTTGTACATGAGCTCTGTTGCCGGTCATTAGTAGTCGGTTTAAATAAGCCAATTTTAAAAACAATTCTTAAGATTTTCAAAAGATGAAGAACACTTAACTTTAACCATCATTTCTACCTTATATAAAGTTAAGAGAAAATAAATTCCCAAACTTACTAATAATCATGCAAAGCAATCAAAATAAACCTTAATAAGGTTTTAAAAGATCAAGATTCAATATAAGAAAATTTCAATAATAACTTATGCCATAACTCTAAATAATTAGCTACTCCACATAGATAGAATCAAACCTCATAATTATATCTACAAGATTTCAATTTCTTATCTCTCAAATCCATCCCTTTTATGCATAGAGACAAGTCCTTTCTCCATTGTCACTCGTGATTTCTAAGAACAAAATTAGGAATGACATAAAACACACATGTCAAAGAACTGAAATACCACAAAACACACATGTCAAAGAACATTTACACCAATTATAAACAATAAGCATATAAGCATGAATCACCTTTAAAATAGTCAGTAAATCCTAAATTCATTTATGTAAAACCTGGGCCTTTTGTTTGCCTAGGAAAGAAAAGAAAAGAAGTACTCCTTACATGAAAATTGAGAAACCTCAAGAGAATGCAAGACAGAGCAATTACTTCATTCGCCACCTTTTGCTTGAAATTTTGTATTCAAATTGAATGACACAATCTACTTCCTCCCCGAGTTGAACAACAAGTTCTTATCTGACACATCAGTGGAAGTTAAGTTATAAAAACGAAATTAAGAGATTGTTTGGGTTAGTTAAAAAGAGGAAATGAAAAGAGAATACCTTGGACAGTGGCGAATTAAGTGATATCGATTTTTTTTCCTGGTGAAGGCGGAGAGAAGATATGAGCTTAGTGTGAGGCATCCACTCTATGATGAAGGCGAGAACATGAAAGGGAAGAAAGCCAGAAGATGAAAGGGATGAAGGTGAGATTGTTGTCGTACGCAAAAGGGACGAAGTAGATGAAGTGTGCACAGAGTAGAAAATGACTGGAATGATGAAGACGAAAAAGACGCTCGAGGAAGACGACTACGATTAGGGTTCTATAAGGAAGTGAGAGCGACAAAGAAATTATATGCATTTATATATTTATTTATTTTTCTAAATTTAATAAATTATAACATATTCACTTACACATTTATCATTTTTTTAATAAAAGGATATGAAAAAATGTAAGAACACTTCTTTTCAAATAGACATATTTAATATATTTTTCATACAAATTATGATATATTATAATTAAATTAGAAATATTAATTAATAAATATAGCATCTCAATACTAATAAAAAATAAATGGACTATTATAAATATACCATTTCAGTATTAAAGTTGTTATAAAATATATTAATTATTTAAGAGATTAATTATTATTGTCAATATAAAAAATTTTACACTGTTGATACATTGATATTACTTTTCAAGTGGTTAAAATTAAAGTCAAATTTTTAAAATAAATTACAATTAACTGACTGTGTATAAAATATTTACACTATCAGTGTATCTCAATTAAATTTATTATTTAATTATTAAAGTTTAATGGATATACAGTGTAAAATTTTACATTATAGTCTAATGAAAAATTAACAAATTGTTAAATTATAAATGAAAAATTTAAATTTAAATGTGATTCGGCAGAATATACATCATTAAATAATTGACGGTATACAAATATTTTTTTCTCTAATTATTATATCATCTCA